TAGGAAGTCACAACACATCCTTCACTAATCCAATTAGCTGGGATTGAAATCTCAGCCATGCTGGAAAAGCTTGAGCCAAAATGGGGTTTAGGGTTTTGGGGTTTAGGGTTTAGGGTTTAGAGTTTAGGGTTGAGAGCTTTTGGTTTGCGGGTTTCGACTCACACACTCGCACAAGGCAGGCATGGCAAGAAGGTCCCGAGCTTGCTACATGTACATACCTGCTTGTCCAAGGACTGGCTAACCCGAAATGCCCAGTAAGGAAACCACAAGAGAGTCCAAAGTATCAAAGTAGAAAACTGGGCAAGAGGGTGTTCCCAGCTTGGACCGCAGACACCAAGCAGAAAACGGTCAATTGCGACCACATTCTGCCAACCACGCAGCCAGTGGGTCCACTGTTTCAAAATATTCTCACTGGAGTCTGTTGTTGGTTTAGTCGCGTCTCTTTCCACGCGCTATAGACATGTCCTCACTATCACCTCTGAACTATCTGCTTCTCACCGGGGTGATCCACTTCGTCGTGCTGTCACATATAGTAAAGCAGGGGAAAACGTGTCATGCAGTATTGCACCGTCCAGCCGTGTACCGTCGACGACTCGTTACTCGTAGTCCTCATGCTGAAGTGTCCTCGTCCTAATTCCCGAGCATCAGCGACAGCCAAAAATAGGAATACTCGTCAAAGTCATTGACAGACATCCGACCACTTGCTGTGAATTCACCACCTTGGCCTAGCAAGCTTTGCATGCAATAAATTCGTCGCCTTCATGCCAAGTATTTCGCATGCAGAGTCAGAATTCCGGCATTGTTGTTTCATGCAGTGGTAAATTCCACAATTCATCGCCACCAAGTTTGTGCATCCACATGCAATGCAATGCCAATGGAATCGTCCCATCGTATACAGGCTTGTGAATTCGTTCTTGCACTCGCCATCCATTGCCCATGCAGAAATATCGCGTTCTTTGCTAGAGTGGATCATCATCACAGTTATGTAGTCTGAAGAGCAAGGTTGTCACCACTCAATCCGTCCGCGAAGACGTCACAGCTGATCCCATTTGCCTCATCCACTGCTCCCGTGGCTGATGCCGAAAACCATCGCTGTACTAGGCGACTCCGGCTGTAACCAGACAAGCTCTCAGAGAAAAACGTGAGGGCTTTTCTATGCATATGCCACAGTCAGAACCCAGGCTTCTTCTTGGACGGCCAGCAAACGACTGTATTCGTAGACCATGGCGGCGAGTTCGGGCGGGTTAGTGGTTTGTCAGACGGGCTGGGGTGTAGGGGCGGCAACAAAGGTTAGTGCAGTGTTAGAGGCAACGCAAGCAGAGCAGGGCGACAATTCGTCGGTTGTGTGTATGCCACGGCGTGGGGGGCGTTGCCCGTAACACGTCACTCGCACCGGCGGTTCACCATCCATCATCAAAGTATGCACCATGTAATTTGCTGCCACAAAACACGCCGTTCCTAATCCATTACCCGATGTCTACTACTGCGACTCTGGTTCAACAGAGAGCGGACTGTCAATGCACTTCCCACATTCTATGATGCCAGGACTTATAAACGAGACACACCACACTCGCTCACTCATTTCTCTTGCTTCGTGCCACTTCAACGAATTCAATCCAGTCCGTAGGGCCTGACACCTCGAAAATGACTGCACATGCAATTGGTCAAGGCACTCAAAAGTAGTTATTCTCTACATGCATACAATGAACACAAGTGTTCACGACGTGCTCCACACGTCGGGGCCAAGCAGTGGCTATTCCTAAATTCTGAGGCATGCTGCAGGCCAATAGGGCTATTCATAAATTCGTGGATTCATCAACATGCAGTGTGTCGTGCATTTAAATTCATCGTAGTGCGATCATGCAGTCGTCGAATTCTTCGTCGTGCTCACACGCAGCCTTGCTCAGTGCCTTGTGTACATGAATTCATGCGCGGGTGTCAGTACCATACATGCGCCGAGTACTTGTACATGCAGCTTGGGATAGAGGAGCTCAGGGCTATCATAGTCCACAAAACAACACATACAGCAAGACCCCAAACTAAACAGACCACACAACATTTACAAAACATCAGCCGAAGAAGGGTCTAAGCTCCTCATCGCGAACTGCTGTTCGGCTACCATCACTGAAGGTGACAGTGGCGAGACCCGGTCCCATCGTGACCGTCGGTGCCGACAGAACCGGCCCCCTGTTCATTGGGACGCGGCTCTGCAAATCGATCACTCGTGGCTGGGGCCTGTTGTCATCCGGGGGGGGATGGCGGTAGGGCAGCCGCTCATGGTACTTATCCCTGAGCTCTTGAATCTTCTCACTGACTTCCCCAAGGTCTTTAGTGCTGGCCAGAGATTGCTCTTGCTCCTTGATCATCTCCGCCTGCGCCATCAGCTGATCCAACATCCTCTGGAAGACCCCCGCATCTGCTGCTGGGAGCCGAGCAAAGGCACTGCCCAATTGCGAAATGCCCCCCGCAATGCCTTCGAGCCTGGTGTCCTGGCCTTCACACACTTTATCCAGCTTCCTGAGCAGTCCATGCGACGTCGTGTGGAGGCTGTTCGCTTGGCCTTTGACCATGCCCACTTCCTCAAAGATAGACGTGCTCTTTGCACGCGTGAGCTGCTCCAGCCTGTCAAAGTCCCCACGTAGCTTCTCCAGTGCCCCCTTAGTGGCATCCAGAACGTGCTGGAGGTCCTTGGACCCGAAACTTTGTTTAAGCTCCGTCAGCGTGGACTCGGCTGCCGTCGCTGTTTTCTCCTGCTTGGAGCTGATGTCCTTCAGGACATCCCGCAAAGGCTTGAGGAGCCCTTCCAGCTGGTTCCCGAAATCCTTGATGGCCTGCCAGACTGGCTTCATCTCTGCCACCGTAACTCCATTGGGTTTGTCCGCCAGTTGTTTGTTGAGGCCATCCATGCCAGACACCAACGAAGTTAGCAGCGTCATCATTTCCTTGTCACCTCCTCGGGAGCCAGAGGGCGCCGGGCCATCATGTGTTGCATCCAGGAGGTGGTTGACCGCTTGGGTCATGGCTTCGTGACTTTGGACCAAAGCGACGTGCTCACACCTCAGCATGTCAACTGTCTTGTCCTGAGAACCAATCATGTCGCAGGCATGTTGGGCAGTAAGAAGCACGCTTCTCACATCTTCACATGCCAACAGAAAGGCATTGTGTTGTCCTGAAACTTCGCGCAGGATTTGTTGTATCTCTCGGGGGACTGCCACACCAGTCCCCTCTTGTGTCATCGACAGGCCACTCGTCTCCAGGTTTGTGAGGCGATTGTCAAGCATCTCACACGTGTGCAGCAGTCTGGCCATCAGCAGGCGTGCTTTATACACCTGCCGCGCCATATTCACCCACACAACAGCCATCAAAGTGGCCCAAAAGATGACTCGCCATCCACCCAGAGACTCTGACACATCGGACAGAGTCGGCACGTCCAGATCCCGCGCCCAGGACACAAAGGACTCGAATCCCTCGGCCATGGTTAGCACCGGACAGATTGCGAAAGGGCGCTTGAGGGGCTCAATAACACGGGCTGCGGAGTTATGTCGTAATCAAAGACGCTCTCTCAACCCTCCCCCTACCAAGTGGGAGCAGTTTGCGGCAGAGCTTATTTCCTGGGAGAATCCTGTAGCTTCGTCATGGCAGCGTGTGTTCCCAATGTATTACACACTGGGCTGTACACTGTTACACTCTGAAAAGCCATGTTACGACATTCATGCATGCAGAAGCCCGGCATCATGTCCACTCTGCACATACATGCAAACCATGCAACCCAGTAAAGACCCTAGCGCACCCGTTCAGGAAATCACAACATGCGAATGAAGTCTGAACTCCATAAAAACTAAAAAGCTGAATTCCGGAAAACAAATTCCAAATTCCCGAATACATGCAGTGGTGGCAGCAATCAAATTCAAAACATGCATTACACGCATCACTGACACCGTGGCTGGATGTGGCCACACTTCACTCACATATTACCACGTCCTCATCCTCGTCTGACGACAGGCAGATTTGGAGTGGTGCCTCGGTGTACTTGAGAGCACCTTGTGCCCACTTCAGTCCTGGCACCTTGCGGCAGATGCCGAAGTCCTCAAGAGGCAGTTGCACTTGCCCTCCTCCTGCCCACGTCGACAATTGGCTCCTAACTTCGCAAGGAAAACTCGGGGCCACGAATCCCAGACTATTAAGGAGTGCTTTATCCTCGTTCTGTAGTTGCTGCCATCCTGCAGGGACCCAGCCGATGAGCAGCATTCGATCACAGCCTGCTGGGACTGACGCATGCCAGAGTTGTCTGGCACTGAGCTTGTACGCAGTGCCCGACAGGATGTGGCCTCTTCTCTCTAGTCCATCTGCACACAGCATCCTAATAGTCCCTTCCGGGTGCTCAACCCACGTGCCCCCTGGTGCACCAGGCGACAGGTTACATATCAAAGTCGGAAGAGCCGTGTTCTTGACGTCTTTATGCGGCTGCAGCTCCTGATTAAGTTGAACCTGCATAGCCATGAAATTACTGCCAGGGAATTCTCGACGCATGAAGGCAGCTAGCAACCTAACCGTCTCCGGAAAGCCCTTCGTCTGTGTGCGGATGCCAGTCTTGTAACGAACGAAAGCGCCACAAGTGAAGGAGCCTTCACATTCTTGCAGCAGACGCCTACACACCTCAAATATCTGCTGACGTTCCATGATCCCACACTCTGCCACATCAAATGACATGTCTTCCAGGGCCATGGCCTGCTAAGCATCTACCCTCAGGCTCCAAACATGCACTCTGAGGGAGCGGCGGTGTTGGGCAGTAGATTCGCAACTAACGATCCAATGCATGCGGCGTCAGGCCCCATTTACTCGGCCGTCCTGCCCCCCCCCTCTTTTCCCTTACACCAGGAGTCCATAGCACCGACACACTTCATCCAGACCCCCGCCTCCCACCCTTGTAGCTCAACAACTGGATCTCCACATCACACCGTGTTTGATCCTAATCCTACATCAAACTAACCCACATGCTAGCCAGCGAAAGAGCTAGCGGGGCATAGTCTGAATAGCGCATCAGACAAAGTCTGCGCCCCGTCACAAAAGAACGCAGTGGAGTAGTCTAAGGTCCGGACGAGATACTTAGTGTGGTGTGGGACAAGCTCGACCTCATTAATCATTCTTTGCCACACCGACCCGGATTTCGGCTTGGGTGGCAGTTTCAGGGATGCAATACCCTGGCCATCAAGGAGATTGAGCGCCTCAGTCGCTTCCGGGAGAAGCGTCAACGGGACGTGACGATGGAAAACCGCTCTCTGCAGGTGTGCCAATTCACAGAAAACCGTGACTTCAATGCCTCTCAGCGCCAAGATTGCCTTGATTTTAAAGGATAGGCGTAAAAGAGAAGCTCCAATGTCTAGACACGTGTTACCCGCATGAACATGCACCACTACGGTTTTGGACACACTTCTGCCATTTGCAACCGCAACTGCACAGCGTCCGTCGCACGACTTTGTCCAGATGAAAGCTCCACTGATCTTCCCTGGGGTAATGACATGGAACGGGGTAGTGTAGGGCACCTCGGTGAAGTCTTTGGAAGGCCTAAGAAAGCAATCAAGGATCTTCTTCTTTGTTCTGACTACCACAGGTTGCCTTTCCTGTAGATACTCAAAGCTTGGCACTGCATCTTCCTGAACCCAATGCTGGATCCACCAGGAAAGGTGATTACGCCACTGTGTTCTGTCCTGAGCGAAATCCTCCCACATCGG